CAGTGATTGTGACTTGTGACTGTGGGTGTAGCTGCGATTGTGACTGCAATTGTGACTGCAAGTGCGCTTGTGATTTGTGACTGCGACTATGACTGTGACTGTGACAAGCGACTGCGGATGTGACTTGAGACTGTGACTGCGCTGGGGAATGTAACTGCGATTGTGACTGGGACTGTGACAAGCGACTGTGGATGTGACTGCAATTGTGACTGCGCTCGTAACTGTGACAGAAAATGCGATTGTGGCTGTAACAGTCACTGTGAATGCGATTGCGATTGCGACGGCGCTCGCGACTGTGACTGCGACAGTGACTGTGACAATGTTTGCCCCTGTTAATTCTATTGGTCAAGCAAGAAGGCGTCTAACCGACTGCGCAATACCCTGTTTACAGTGTAAATATTGATTGTATAACTCTGAGAGGCATTTACTTAAGCTCACCAAAAAGCAGAGACTCTCAAACTGTGACTACAGAAAATACCGAAAATATATAAATATTTAGCCTGTTCGTAATATTTAGATAGAACTTGGAAAGAAGCTCAGTTCGAAAACTCTGCCCCGAAATATACTCTGCATTCACAACATATCACTCTCTCGTTCTCTCTGCCAACACTTTGCGTACAGGGTATACGAAGCCAAAACATGAAACAACGGCTATTTGTTCTTGGACTGTGTGTGTGTGTGTGTGTGTGTGATTTTGGGGTCAAAACACTTTTCAAAATCGAATGCAAATGCGAGTTCTGATTGAATGGGCAGCGATGCGGATCTGAGCCGCGCTGCTGTTGTTTATGATTTTTATACTATTTTATGATCTTATGATATTGCTGCTGGCTTATGGACTTTCATTGATGGAAACTTTCAAAATGGGTTGGGAAAAAAAATTGGTTTTTTGGCCATCAAGAACGGGCCGGCGGCCAAAATGCGAACAGGTTTTGTTTTTTTCTTTTTTTTTTTTCAGATACGCAAAAACATTTTGCAGATACTTCATTTCGCTGGTTCGCCATCAAACTAACAGTTAGCTGCTAATGTGTGAGTGTGTGCAGGTGTGTGCAGGTGTGTGTGTGTATGTGTGTGTTTCACAAGCCATCAGCAGAAGTACATAAATTACATTGGCAGTTTGTCGACGTCGCCGTCGACGTCGACGTCGTTGTTGGCGTTGATTGTTGTTAAAGTTGTCGCCTGATCGGTCGCTTTGTTGCCGGCATTGTTTGAGCCAGGCCTACAAAAGTCTCCCAAGATTTTATTGGCTCGTCGTCGGCGTTACCGTTGCGAAACGTGTCCACAATGGAGTCCGGTCCGGTCCGGTTTAATGCGTTTTAGCGAGCATATAATAGAAAAGCTTGCGAAATATTTATACGTACACACATATCTAGCTCGCACTCGAACGCGTACTCATACTCGAACCGCTCGACTATCTCAACTATCCGTCGCGTCGAGCTGTTTGAGCCGCAATTGAAATGAATGACCCGCTATTCATTCGTTGAACCTGAATGGGTTTTGCTTATCCAACTGTATGGAAAATAAAACACTAGCAAAATGTTTCCTTTTCTTCTTCTACTACTAATTGCTTAACAATTCCATTTCTACATCTCTTGATGTGGCAGCTGCACAAAAGTCGTTTATATATACATTTAAATATAATATTCATACACTCTTTAAATTAATTAACGTGATGACAGTCCATTTAATTATGTTGCTTATGCAAGCTTTAATTTCAATGAAAATAATAACTGCAGCATTATTTCTTAAATCATTTTTTCATCATACGAAAAGTGAACTTGCAAGCAAGTTAAAATATTTGTATATTTATCTATGCATTGTGTTTGTTATTACTAAGTATTTAATAGTCTGCAGTTGCAGTTGCTTAGACATTGTTTTTTCTTTTTCTTCTTTTCACACACAAACTACGACGACCCGCCCTTTTCCTCAAAATATTGCTTTTATTTTATGTACATTTATATACTTGACGGGCCCACAACTGAATTGCCTTAACATTTATTTTTATTGATATGTGAATATATACATATATATGTAAAAATGTACTTACCCAAAAATTCACCCACAAACGTATAATTATTTGATTGCTATCGTAGGAGGCAGACAAAACTTGTTTGACGCACAACATCACAGAAAGAACGAATTAGCAGCAGAGAAAAATATGAATAAAATAAGAGAGAGAGAGAGAGAGAGGGAGAGAGAGAGGGAGTGAGAGAGACAGATAGATAAAGAGTGTGTGAGCAAGAGAGAGAGAGAAAGTGATTTAGAGTAAGAGTAAAGGCAGAGATAAAGTTGTTCAAACTTATAATCGAAAGCATGCAAAGCGCAAGCCTTATTTCAATCTATGAGAATTGCATAGAAAGGCGCGCAGCGGCAAGTAAGCTCATATCATAAGACACACGCATGTACAAATAAGCAGGTGTCTGTTTAGTTCTGTTTCAAGAAGATGTTAACTCTAGCAAGAAATTAAATAATTTCTACGAGCATACAAAAGCAGCGAATGCTCCAAAACCTTCGCCTAAAACAAATGCTATCAATAAATTATAAACAAAAGATGTGTTGTGCACTATCTTAATAGATTGACAAACAGTAAAACAGGTCATGCTATAAAGCGAGTAGTTATCAATGAAAGCAATGATAGAATATTACCCGAACAATATGAAAAAGAACTTCGAGAGGGCCAATCACATTTCAAGAGCTATGCGTATGGAAACTGAACAAGCTTCAAGCTTGGTTCGAAATGTATAACAAAATCAAGGAAACAAAGTTGTGAGACAACATTTGTGTATGCAGCATTCGTTTCGAGTATTTTAGAATGGATGCCAATTTATAATTAAGTAATTTTGAGTATTTTCGCATTCGTTTCCTCGTTATGTTGCGCAAGTCAGCAAAATTGTTATTATTGCTTATTAGATGTGATTAAACATAACTATAATTGGCCTAATCGTACTTGAGAACTCGTTATATAAAAGCCCAAATTCATGAATCTGACTTCATTCCCGACCCTAAAGTTAGGACAGTCGAGTTGTCTGCCTGTCTGTTTTTTTTTTTTAGAGATTTTGAGACTTTGCTTGGGTTCGTCTTTCTGTTGCATGCCGGATCGAAACACTATATCGAAAATTGAGATGTTCGTAGAAGTAGTTCTTCGGGTTTTCCAAAAAAATCTTGAGCAAATTTGAGACTTTTTGATTGCAAAATCAAACTACTATATCATATAGTTGCGATCGGTAAAAAAATGAAGTTATTGCATGAACTTCGAGCTACTTTTAACACACACAAAGTCTTAACAACATCGGAGTACTATATGCTAGTACAGGAAAATGAGTTTTTCTAGATATCTTAAATTTATAAGCGTGACAAATCAAGATCGAACTTTTATATCATATAGTTCTATAGGGATACGTGATTGGAATTCGTTAGCTAATCAAGATCGGACTTCTATATCATACAGATCATATGGGGAATTAGTTAGCTAATCAAAATCGGACTTCTATATGATATAGTTCAACAGAAATAATTAGTCGGAATCAAGATCGAACTTCTATATCATATAGATCATAAAGGGATACTTGTTCGGAATTAGTTAGCTAATCAAAATCGGACTTCGATATCATATAGCTTAACAGGAATAATAAGTCGGAATCAAGATCGAACTTTTATATTATATAGATCATATGGGGATACATGATCATGTAGTTCTATAGGGATACTTGTTCGGAATTAGTTAGCTACTCAAGATCGAACTTCTATATCATATAGTTTAACAGGAATAAATAGTCGGAATGAAGATGAGACTTCTATATCATATAGTTCTATAGGGATACGTGATGGAATTCGTTAGCTAATCAAGATCGGACTTCTATATCATACAGATCATATGGGGAATTAGTTAGCTAATCAAGATCGGACTTCTATGATATAGTTCAACAGGAATAATTAGTCGGAATCTAGATCGAACTTATATATCATGTAGTTCTATAGGGATACTTGTTCGGAATTAGTTAGCTAATCAAAATCGGACTTCTATATGATATAGTTCAACAGGAATAATTAGTCGGAATCAAGATCGAACTTCTATATCATATAGATCATAAGGGGATACTTGTTCGGAATTAGTTAGCTAATCAAAATCGGACTTCTATATCATATAGCTTAACAGGAATAATTAGTCGGAATCAAGATCGAACTTTTATATTATATAGATCATATGGGGATACATGATCATGTAGTTCTATAGGGATACTTGTTGGGAATTAGTTAGCTAATCAAGATCGGACTTCTATATCATATAGCTTAACAGGAATAATTACTTGGAATCAAGATCGGACTTCTATATCATATAGTTCTTTAGGGAAACATTCTCGGAATTAGTTGTCATTTTATAAAAGCTCTTCTGGGCCATAAGCCCAGCTGACTAGGGTATTTGATGTTCGGTGTACTCGCTGTGCTTAGTATTTGTCGGACATACCGGTTAGGCTGTGCTTTGGCCTGAAATACCCAACTAACCTTGGTTGAAATGCTGAATGCCATGGCCAAAAGGTGGCCGTGCTGCCGATCTGCCAGCACCTGTTGCCAAATGCTGTCGCAACGCAAAAACCAGTTGCCGCTGGAAGAACCTTACCAAGTGGTCGAAGTCCCAATAAAACTGAGCACCGTTGGACGCCGTGGTCAGTGGACAGTGGACACACTGGAACGCTAAAGCTGGGCAGAAATAGTTGCGCCTTAGTTAGTTGCTAGAATATAGGTCGACCAGTCTTGGTACGAGAAAGTGCGTCTGGCCGCGGGAGAGTGTGTGTGCGAGTGTGTGTGGCACTGTGAAAAGCGGTCCACGCCGTTAGCATCAGCATCAGGGAGTCGGATCAGCGAATCGTTTTGAGGCTTGGCGACCACACACAGCAATACTTTTCTTATGCGATGGAACAAAGACTAGGACTGGCTACGACATTTCCATGGGATTTTTATATACGTGTATTTATGGTATCGAAAATTTCTTTTGCACTTGGCAGCTGCACGATTCGGGATGTCTGGGGCCACACACATGGCTGTGCCGGCGCATGCGATGGGAGCAGCGGCCAGCGGAAGTGTTGCCTCCGGCCAGAGCCAGCCGCTGGGCAAGCGCGGCCACAAGCGCTCCGTATCGCTGGAGAACAATGCGCCGCTGGCGCTGCGCAGTACGCCGAGCTTTGGCCAGAGCATGGGCCAGACGGCGCTCGGATCACCACAGCTGCAGCTGCCCGGGCACACAGCACTGCATACGGGCACACTGAAGTCACGCCAGGAGCAGCGGCGTCTGAGTCAGAAGTTTGGCAGCCACAGTAATCTGGATGACGATGCGCTGAGTGGCGCACAGATGCGCAGCAAGTTCCAGAACATTCGGCAAATGTTCGAGCTGAGCCGCAGCTGCGTGGCCAGCACCGGCCAGCTGGGCCAGCTGGGTGCTGATGATAGCAAGTCGCCCGAGGAGTCGCTCCAGTCATTGCCGGCAATGCTCAATGGCCCACAAACGTCGACATTGCGCCGCACCACGCCCATAGCTGCCGGAAGCCGGCTGGCCATTAGCGAACAGCAGTCGCAGCTGCCGCAGCAGCCGGGCGAGGCCAAAGAACAGGTGAGGCTTGACATTGAGCTGGCATTAGGTGTGCCATGGGTCTTGGGTTGGGCGCACTTGAATTGATTGATGTCGCGCTTGCCTTTCGCTGCAGCAAATCGGGTCCGGCAACTTTCTGCGTCCGATCGCCTTCAAGCCCATTCCCTTCGAGCCGGACTATCGCATTGCCTCTCAGCAACAGCAGCAGCAGGCGCAGCAGCAGCAGCTGCAGCAGCTGCAGCAGTCGCATTCGACACAGCAACCGGTGCCGGGCGAGCGTTATGGCTACGGTTCGACGCCTTCGCTGGTGCCGCTCTCCACGGCAGCCACACACAAATTTGGCAGTAAGTAATCCAATTTCTGTAACCGTCGGCCGTTCTACATTTTTGCCTCATGCCAGGCACAACAGATCTGCGTCATTTGGCGGCGCGCAGACGCGGCCAACGCGTCGTCCAGCGCAGCAGCAACGAGGATGGCCTCGGCCTGGGCCTGGGTCTGGGTCTGGGTCTGGGCTTGGGTCTGGGTCTGGAGTGTCTCAGCGGCCATGATAGGCCGGATGGCGGCAACAGGTAACAACAAGCAACGCCTAATCTCTTCAAGCATTTGGCAACTAACCGGAGTCTTGGTCAACGATTTGTAGCAAGAGCAATGTCGTGGCAGCTGGCAGCGATCTGACGCCCTCGCCCTCGGACTCGGGCATATCGGAGCTGGAGGCGGCGCTCAAGGACCGCGACTCGGAGCTGTCGTATCTGCGACAGGCAATGGAACAGAATGAGAAAGTAATTTTCAAAGTCCAAAAGGTTAAATAACAAACATGCCTAACCGCCAGCCTCACTGATAGACGCCACATTGTCCAATTTCATTTTCAACAGGACAAGGAAGTGTACTGGGAGCACGAGACGCAGCGCCTGAAGCTCTTCTACGAGAGCCAGCAGCGCGAGTATCATCTCAAGTTCAAGAAAATGGAGCAGCTGCTGGCCCTGCAGCAGTTCCAGCTCAAGCAGCACAATCTGCGCCAATCCGAGCAGCTGCACAAGCTGCAGCAGCAGCTCGATCTGACGCGCTGCAGCAACAAGAGCCTCAAGAACTCCGAACAGCAGCTGCAGTGCTCCGCCCAGGAACTTAACCAGCAGCTGAACGAGGCTCAACAGACGATGGCCGCTCTGCGTCTCCAGCTGGAGGACAGCGAGTGGAAGGTTTGCGAACGCAACGGCGAAATAGCTTTACTCAAGACGCAGCTCAAGGAGGCGCATGTAAGTTCCGCATCTAGCTCCAAGTTTCAAAGTTATTTAACAACTGGCTCAAAACTGGCTCAATTAATCGTTTGGGCCACCGGGCTACGAAGTTGCTGGCTCAAATCTCTGCTGATATCGATATCTGAGCTGATATCCATTGTTATCGATTTTAGAGCAATTAGGCTTATCGATAAGTCGACATAAATTCTTAAAAAAGTTATGTATGAAACGATCTTTTATTGGGTAATTGTTAGGTTAGCTGATATCGATTGTTATCAATTTTGGTGTAATCGAGCTTATCGATAATTCGACATAATTTCCCAGGCATATATCTTGAGCTAATGGATTCTCATTTCGTTTGCTCAGCTTGAAATCAACATGAAGGATCATGCAATTGTTAGCCTGAGACACAGCAACAACATCAACCAATTAAACAACAACAACAACAACAACAACTACAACAACAATAACAACTACAACAACAATAACAACAACAACTGTAAGACAATAACATGCCAAAGTCAACCAAAGCAGCAGACGGAGGAAAACCAGCAACAGGAGCAACAGCTGCAGCAGCTAAACAAAATCATTGCGCTCAAGGATCAGGTGATCGGAGCGCTGACCAACGAGCTGGCCAAGCTGCGCAAGGAGCTATCCGATCTGGCCATTGCGCACGAGTACGGCGAGGAGCCCTGCGGCCGTTATACGCGGCTCAAGCAGCAGCTGGACAACTTGAACGAGATCTGCCAGAAGACGCGCAAGTATACGAGTCAGGCGGCGACAATAACAGCCAAGCCACAGACGACGGCACCACAGCAACTGGACGCCATCATGGAGCGACTGCAGCTGGATCAGGGCCAGCCGGCGCAGCAAGCTTTGGACACGCTCATCGAGGAGTCGACCACCTATGCCGAAGACATAGCCAAGTTGCGTCAAAAGCTCGACGATTTTCGCATCAATCTGGAGCTGGAGAAGCGTCAATGGTGCGCCGAAAAGGACAAAGTCCTGGGCTATCAAAAGCAGCTACAGGCCCACTACATACACATGTACCAGAAGCTGCGCTGCCTGGACACAGCTGCCACCACAAGCACAGCAACAGCACCACCTACAGCTCCAGCTCCAGCTCCAGCTCCGGCGCCAGTTTCCACTGCAAAGGAGGTGAGCAACCAGGGCTGAACAGTTTTCGTAATTGCCCAGTTTATGGTGCTCTTGGACTCTTATTCATATACATTTATATAAATATATATCTTGCCTGGACGAAGCAATATTGTCTACGTTTAATAATCAATTACTATATTTATGCTATGCCCAGTTAATCTTAAAAAGATTTGCATTTTTCTAACCTTGATTGGAATCCATATCCAATACAGACTATATAACATATACACGAGATATTCCAATTAGAACATTTTTGCATATAATAAATGACTTATTATTGGAACGAATATTTCTTGATATTGCGAATACTGTGATGCATGTTGAACACAACATGCATTTTATGCCGGGCATCGCCGAATTATTTCATCCAAAATACAAACAAAATTTTCACATTTCAAACAATTTTAAAGCAATTTCAATTTGCCTAGCGTAAATATAGTAAATGCCCCATATCGCATATACGATTTCGAACATTAAATACAATTATTTTTGATATATTTATAAGAAAACAAAATACAAGCTATACTACAAAATATGTAATATATGCGCATATATCTTTTGTTTTTAATTCTTTACATAACTTATTAAGCATATGAATAAGGAAAAACAATTTTCGATTCTGTTTAATATATATATTCATTTGTGTGTTGTATGTAGTTCCATTATGTAAATGAAAAAAAAAAAAAAACAAACAAATTATATTTATTCAATATGATAATTACACGTAGTCAAGTATATGTGTGCAAGAGAAATGGCTTAACTGGGCGCTATAAATAATAATAATAATTAAAAAAAAAAAAACTATTTAAATATATAAATTTGTGTTCATTTTTTTTAAATTTTAGATATTTTAATGCAGAGACCTTTAGAGCTCGTTGTAAGCATATATTAAAAGGGGCAGATAAGCGAAATTAAATACAATATGACATTCTTCAAAACTCACCCACGCACATACATTCAAGCAGACGCACACACACACACACTCACGCACACACACACACACACACATACACACATAAAGAAGCTTAAGTATCACTCTCACACTCTTAAAAAACTATGTGGCTTATATGGATACGATATGCTAGACACACTCCTCCACGTAGGTTGCCGGAAAGATGCCAATTTGATTGCGCAATGCGCCCAGCCACCAGCCGTCGTCCTGTTTGGCATGCACCTCGATAACATCGCCTGGACTCAGCTCCAGTTCGTCGTAGAGTTTTGGTGTGTAGCTGTAGAGCGCCTTGCAGCGCCCGAGCACCTGACACTGGCCGCCATCTTTGGAGCTGACGCTGGTGAAATTGCTATTGGCGCCTTGGGAGCTCATGGATGAGCTTTGCACCTCCTGCGCATTTTGATAGAAATTTTGTGTTGTTATCGGCTCAGCCTCATCCTCGTCCTGCGAACTAAACTCATCAAAGTCAGAGTCCTGCTGATTGGAGCCACCATCTGCCTGGCCGCGATCCCCATTCGTTTGGCCAGCGGACAGCGTTTTGGACTTAGCCGCTGTCGCCGTTGCCGTCGCCGTCGCCGCCAGCGATGCATTGGTTGTGGAGATTATCTTTGGTTGGCTGGTAAAGGTTTCAATATTGCTCTTGCTGCGATTGAAGTGCTTCAGCAGCGCCGATGTGGGCGCAGCCACCACACTAATGTTTGCACAGGAGCTGTTCGTCTGACTCTGCAATTGCGAATAGTCATCCTCATCGTCTGCGATGCCATCGCTATTATCCTGCGACAGCAACGTGCTCGTATTCTGTGTCTTGTCATTGTTCTTCATCCAGTTGGGCACCTTGAGTATGCTCTGCTGCAGGCCCGTGCGATCCCGTGTGATCTGCGAAATAGTTATAACTGATTGTATAATTGTTGTTTTGATAAAGTTGGTGCATCTGAACCTGTATATGCTGCGCCAGCGGATGTGTTGTGCGCGGCTTATGGTCCAGCTCGAGCAGCGCGGAGTGCAGCTTCAGACGTGCGCCCTCCAAATAAGTCAGCATGGAGCGAATCTGCAGCAGAGATCAAAGTGAAAAGTTAAGTGAAACCTATTCAATTTGTTCGGCTATAGCTATGAAAACGTACATGGTATAGCTTATCGGTAATGTTCTGATGCTCCTGGTTGTTGAGCGACTGTGATAGGCCGCGCAGGCCATCTCTGGAGCGTCGCTCCCGTTCCAAATCTGTTTTGACCAACTGCAGCAGCTTGATCAGCGAGTGCTTGCGCCGCTCACGGTTCATGGCCAGCGTGGTGTGCTCGCAATAGAAGTCGGGCAGTAGCTGCTCGCTGGGACCCTCGGAATTGCGGCGTATATTGCGCACCACCTGCATATCCTTGGCCACATTGCAGGCATCCAGCTGCTGCTGCAGACTGTTGGTTAGGTTGCCCAAAATGGGATTCATATCGCTGATAAGGCGCGCATATTGCTGCACAAAGTTATGCATATTGCCCACACGGTGCTGCTCGCTGCTCTGCAGCTGGGAGGAGCCGCGCAGCACGGCCATTTCCCAGTCGACACGGGCACGCTCGGCGCGCACGCACAGCGTATAGTATTCAACGTCCGCACGTTTGACCGCCTCCTCGGCCTTCTTGCGCTTGTTGTCCAGCTTGACGCAGTCTTTTTCGGCCGACTTGAGCTCCTTCTCGGCGGCCAGTTTGTTGGGCCCCTGATGTAACAGCGCTATCGATGGCGATTTCTGTATGCGCACGTCCAGCATCGCATCCTGCAGCTTCTCGTTCTCCCTAGCGGCCGTGTGCGAGGCCTTCTTGGCCTTTGCCTCGCTCACGCGCCACTCGCTCAGCACACGTGCCGCTTTGTCCACATTGCTTTCGACCTGGTTTCAAATATATATGTTCGTTTAGGATCGCACTCGATTCGCATTTGCTGGACTAACTTACCGCTTTGCGGGTCTTGTGATGATTATCCACGACCGTCTTGAGCGGCTTCACAAGCTCATCGGTCAGCGAGGCTGCCAGCTGGCGATGGATGTCGCTGCGACTTTCCATTTCTGTAGCAACACCACGCCAGGCATCCGCCACACTTCCGGGCACCTCCCGGCCAGCTTTATTCAGTTTATTGGCCAACTTCGACAGCGACTTGGAGTAGATCAGCTCCGAGTCGGCACTAGATGATTACCAGAAAGGATTGCAAGAGCTTTATCGTCAATTTTTCAATAAATAAATCAATTCGACTTATGCCTAAGTTTATGTCTCCTTATACTAGCCGAAAGCTAGCTAGAGCCTACAGGCTTGGAGCACATGGAGATATCTTAAAAGAGACCTTCTACATTTGCATTAAATCCTTTTGGCTGACGAGAACCCTCGACCACGACTACCTTGTTTACCCGAAGCAAACCTCTCGATGTTTCGACTTATTTTATTCGGCTCTAGGCATAATCCTGGGTAACACTAGGAAGACTTACCGCTCTTGGAGAACAAATATGAGCTCTTTGCTGAAGTCGCCGCCCTGTTTGACATAGCGTCTGAGTTCCTCGAAGCCGTTTTGTCCCTATCGGGGGGAGAGAGAGGGAGAGAAATGTTAAAAAGAGATCACAAGCATCGGATGCACATATGAACGTGGTATATGTGGATTGGGACCAAACAATGCTGCAGCCTCGTCTGTACCTCGTCTTTGAAACGTTTGGAGTGCGGCGACAGATCCTCATCACTGGGATGTTGGGACAATGAAGGTTCGTATTCGGTGCGATCGGTGACATCCTCGCAGCTTTCGGTCATATCCCGATCCCGATCCCGACTGCGGTCTGGCGACATTGACTGGCGGCTGGCATTGCCGGTGGACTGATTAAGATTGGTTTTAGATTGTGCCACACGTTTCAGTGGCGTTTGCTGGCGCACTGCCTCCTTCAGCTTGGTGCCCTCCTCGCCGAGCCAGTGCTTCATGCCGTGCCAGCCCTTGCGCAGCTTCTCCTTGTTGTGATTAAAGTTGATCAGACGCTGGTTTTTATTCTTGAGCAGTGTGATGCGACGCTCGCTGGGACGCAGCTGATCCCGATGCGTGCAGTACTCCAGATCGATTTCACGGTTAAAATCCTCCGTCTCGTTAATCTGCCTGGTTATCTCCTGCAGCTCATCAATGGACACAAACAGATTTTGGGCATTCAGGCTCTGATAGCTAACCGACTTGAGATCGTAGTCAAACTCCTCGTTGATGCTGACCTGGCTGTGGCTTCTGCTTCTGCTCCTGCTTCTACTTCTGCTGCTGCGACAGCTGGTCAGGCTCTGCTTGGAGCTTTGCTTCGACGGCATCAGCTGAAAGGAGTCGATGCTCTTGAAGCACTGCTGCTGCGCCAAAAAGCCACAAATGATGTGTGCGTTCGGCTCGGATTCTTGATTGTCCTGCTGGCCACGTTGGGGTGTGCTATGATGGTTCTCCTTGTTGTCGCTGGCCGCCAAGCTCAGCTCACTGGTGCCGTACAGCTCTGGCAGTTCGGGCAGGTTTAGGCCAAGCTGCGGCGGTGCCGTCATATTCATGTCCAGCGTCATCGATGGCGACTTGTGCAGATAGACCTTCAGCTCGGATCGATGTAGATTCTGTACGGATTGCGACTGTTGTTGCCGGGCAATGCGTGGCCGTCGCATTGGTGGCTCTACACCCAGCTGCGGGAGCGGGACCGGCAGTGCGGGTGGTGGTGGTGGTGGTGGTGGTGGTGTCGGTGGCGGGGATAGCATTCGGTCGGGCTGATGCGTTGGCGTCTCGAAATGCTCCGTTTCCGGATCGGCGCTGGTCGGCTGCTCGATTTGCGGCGTGCCACAAGCATCCACGAACTCTTCCTCATCGGAGCTGCGCGGCGTTAGGGTGCGGACTATCGAGGATGTCTTCGCAATGCCGCCCCCAATCTGTTTGAGACGCGCCTCCGTCACACCAAAGCGATCTGTGTCCAGTGTTGTGGTCGATATCAGAATGGGCGCACCAATCTCTAGCCGATGGTCTTCGGAATTGCTGCCGGTCATATTGTAGCTGCCCGTGGCCAGCTTGCTGGGCGAGCCGGACCGATCCTTGCCGGCAACCCCGCCCGACAGAGTCATGCTGCCCAAATGACGACGGCTGAGCTTATGCCCGAGCACCGAGTAACGTTTGATGCGGGTGAGGAATCCTTTGCCGCTGCTCCCATTATTATTATTGTTAATGTTGCTGTTGTTATTGTTGTTGCTAATGCTGTTATTGTTGTCGGCGGCGGCAGCATTCGAAGGAATTTCAGCGACAGCCGCATTATCCTTGCCGCCCAATTTGAATTTATGCGCGCGCAAATGGTTCATCGTTCTACGCGAATTATTTTAATTAAATTTTGATCAGCTTTTTGATTTGAGTTCGATTTGTTGGAGAGCTTTGCGTGAATCTCGCATACGTTCACGTTCACATTGCGTGCGTGCGCACTGCAAATTGTCCAAAAACTGAGTGGATAACGCAACTAGAACAGGCGACAAGTGCATAAGCAAGCGACAACAAGGAGAAGTGAAGCAGTGCCGGGGCAGAAGGAAGCCAAAGCAGAAGAATAAACACGAAAGAAGGCTGTTCTTGTTCATTTTGGTGTTGTGTTCTGTTAGCATGTTCGGTTGATTTGCAGCACGACTACTGTACACCCTTTATGCGCTCACAATTCAATATTGTGTGCAATATTATAGGTAAGTATTCAATATATTTATGCACATTTCGATGAAAATCAAGCATGCATATTTCTTATATCAAGTCGGATTAAAGTACAACTAACTTTTAGTCTTAATC